TTAAATGCTTGACCTTGGTATAAAATAATGGAAATTTTGAGCACGATATAGTCAGTAGTCAGTGGGATGAACTGAACTGAAGGTAGTGTGCATACTTACTTTGTAGGGGGACCCTGTTTTCAGGCAAAAGTTGCCAAAAAGTTACCTTTTTTGCCTGTTGTACCTTCAGTGTTTTTTCCCAAGCTACATCCTGCATGCAGATATACATGCAATACATTCAGAAATAGATATGCATTGAGCCTATTTAGTAATGAAAGCAGATTTTAATGTGCTTACACCAACATTTAGGTAGCACCACCTTTATGTCATCCTGGATGTGCTGAGTTAGTTGTGCATGTGTTTCACATGTTTTAGTGATTTCATTAGCTGGCCATGAGTTTATCTCTGTAAAACTTAGCTCAGGCTTCAGTTGCACCAACAAAATGTTTCAAGTTTTAGTGAACTTAACTGGGATAAAAGCAAAAGAGTCAACCGAAGTTGAGTATTGGTATAGAATGCTTGAAGTAAAGACATCACAGCCAATTTATTATGGTTCTCTCTTTCTAGTAACATTTTTTTTTTGGTTTTGGAAATGTGGTTGTTTTAGATGAGCCAACAATCTAGCAAACCTGGCTCAGTTTTCTCTTCTATCTCCTTGAAGTGATCTTTGAAGCTAGTTCGAAAGTGAGTGGCTTGCTTCTAAGAGTACTTTGGCTGAGATCTTCTGTTTTAGTGTAAAGACCAGTCTATAGCATAGATCTTTATCCATGTACGGCTTGGTAGACCTGCTAAGATAAGGTCAACTGGGTCTATTAGTTGGGTGGAAAATAAGGTCAATCTAAGGTAGTTTGATTCTATTGTCACATTTGGAGGTGCCTTGTGTTGACTCATTTAGTTTTCATCTTATTAATACGTGCACACATTCAGATTTGGGATGATTTAATGGTTATGGCATTGTTGCTGTTATATGCATTAAATAACACAGGCTCTGGCTTTCTTTTCTTGAAATTATGTTTGTCTGTTCAGGTTTGGTTAAATCCAACTAATAGGCCTTATCAGCACGTTTCCTGGCTGAAAAATTCATTGTCTGATATTTTTACATTTTAACATTTCAATTGATCCAGGTCAAAAGGAGTACACATACTTATGCATTAGAGCCACGGAATGCCAAAAATAGAGAGTCAACTGAAACTGTTGGAGTGCATTTTTCTGAAGATGATTTAACAGCAACGGACATATCTGCTCATCCAAGGCATTTGAAGCAGATGAAACCTCATCAACTAGAAGGTTTTAATTTTCTTCTGAGCAATTTGGTGACAGATAACCCTGGGGGTTGCATCTTGGCCCATGCACCTGGATCCGGAAAGACGTTCATGATAATCAGCTTCATGCAGAGTTTTCTAGCCAAATATCCACATGCTAAGCCACTAGTTGTGCTTCCAAAAGGTATCTTGGCTACATGGAAAAAAGAGTTTGAAACATGGCAAGTAGAGGATATTCCACTGCTTGATTTCTACACTGTGAAAGCGGATACCAGGTTGCAGCAATTGGATGTCTTAAAAAAGTGGGTTGAATGCAAGAGTATCCTTTTTCTTGGATACAAACAATTCTCTACGATTATTTGTGATGGTGGATATAGCCAGACCTCAATTTCCTGCCAAGAGATACTCTTACGAGCACCGTCAATTCTAATTTTGGATGAAGGGCATACACCAAGGAATGAGAACACTGATGTGTTGCAATCTCTTGCAAAAGTGCAAACAACTCGAAAGGTTGTACTTTCTGGAACTCTCTATCAGAATCATGTGAAAGAGGTATTTAACATAGTAAACCTTGTTCGACCAAAGTTTCTTCGGTTGGACACTTCCAAATCAGTAATTAAGAAGATAATGAGCAAGGTTCATATATCAGGAGTCAGGAAGCAGGTGAAAGCTGGAGCTGATGCAGCTTTTTATGATTTGGTGGAGCACACACTGCAGAAGGATGAAAATTTTGAGAGGAAAGTCTCAGTAATACATGATCTACGTGAGATGACCAGCAAAGTCCTTCATTACTACAAAGGAGATTTCTTGGATGAGCTTCCTGGTCTTGTTGATTTCACTGTAGTACTCAGTCTTAGTCCCAGACAGAAGGATGAAGTTCAGAAGTTAAAAAGGTTTCAAAGGAAGTTCAAAATTTCATCTGTTGGTAGTGCTGTTTATCTACATCCAAAACTGAATTCTTTCTCTGAGAATTCTGTCATGACAGATGATAAGATGGATGACTTGTTGGACAAATTAGATGTCAAAGAGGGAGTCAAAGCAAAATTTTTTCTCAATATGATAAATTTGTGTGAGTCAGCTGGTGAGAAGCTCCTTGTTTTTAGTCAGTATCTCATACCCTTGAAATTTTTGGAGAGATTGTGTGTGAAAATGAAGGGCTGGCATCCAGGAATTGAGATTTTTTCTATCTCGGGTGAATCAAGCTCTGACCATCGAGAGTGGTCTATGGAACGCTTCAACAACTCTCCTGATGCTAAAGTTTTCTTTGGATCTATTAAGGCTTGTGGAGAGGGAATTTCTTTGGTGGGGGCATCCCGAGTTATAATCTTGGATGTTCATCTTAATCCATCTGTGACCCGCCAAGCTGTTGGCCGTGCATTCCGTCCTGGTCAGAAGAAGAAAGTGTATGCATATAGACTGGTTGCTGGTGATTCTCCTGAAGAGGAGGATCATAGTACTTGTTTCAAGAAGGAATTAATTGCAAAGATGTGGTTTGAGTGGAACAAGTATTGTGGCAACCGAGATTTTGAAATGGAGACTGTTGATGTGAGTGAGTGCAGTGATCTCTTTCTGGAAAGTCCTTTGTTGAGGGAAGATATTAGGATTCTATACAAAAGGTTAGTCTTTTTATTCAACATCATTCTCATTTATTTTCTCTTAGTTCTTGCATTCCAACTTCTATTCTCTCTATTTTTCAGGTAGATGCTGGGACCATAGAGCTGAGACTGACACGGGCACAATAAGTATTTGGCTGTTTCCTTGTTTGGCACAAGTAATTTCTTGCTTCTTTTTGTAGCCATTCAGTCCTTGGATATGTTTCTTGGTTGATATACTTTTGAAAGCAGTGTAGGCAGGTTGCTTGAAAGCAATATTAGGTAAATTTGATGGTAAAGAAATGAGAATGACCTATTTTTGACAGCAGTCAGTGACTGTTCCGTTTCTTTTGAGCCTAGGAGGCTTTAGAACATATCCATAATGAAGCCAGGAATCATAAACTAGATGCTTACTTTAGTGCATGACAGTTTTTGAACTACTTTTGTTAAACTGCAAGTCTTTGTGCAAGCAGTTTTCTATGACTGTTTATAGAACCATCCTCACCTCTGATGTAGGCCTGTGTAAATGCTACTTTGAATTTAACGAGATGAAAATTGTAAATTGTGCTTTCCGAACGTTCTGGTTGACCAATGGTTCTTTCTAATTCCACATAGTAGAAATTTTTTCATGGAATTTTCAGTTTTTTGGGTTCCCACGTGATATTATCATGCAGTTGCTTCTCTGAATGCATGCTTTCGCCTGTTCCCTCCGGTCTCATATGCCATGTATTAAGGAACTGATTTAATCAAGGGATGACTGCAGTTGGGTTTTGGGTGTCTGATGAGGTTTGAGGGAAGTTTGTAATATGTCTAATTAAATTACGATATAATACTTGTTTTGCAACAAATTACTGTAATGTAAGATTGTTATGCAATCAATTGATGTAATGTGATTGCAGTTTAAAATTAATTTAATTAGATTGTATTGTATTCTGTAATGTTATTAAAAATATTTTCACTTTTCAACTTTGTTATTTTATCTTTTATAATGTTATAATTTATTTGTAATATAGATTTGGAGGAGTGTTTTTTTTATTATTTTAAGTAGTTATAGTGATTGTCAATAAAATTTATATTTTTTTAAAAAAATTAAAATAAAATATATAATATATTTAAAAATAATATTATATAAAAATTAATAATAAAAAATAAGTATATTAAATTTATATTTTAAATAAAGTATTTATAAATCAAATATTATAATATTATTTTATTAAAAATTTAATTATTATTTTATTTATATAATAAATATTATAATATTATCTTTTTATAATTACATTACTTATAATTATATTATCTATAATCGTATTATATTATAAAATATTAAATGTCACTTTAGGTGATCGTCAAGTTATTAATTGTTCTTTCGATTATTTTTTTAAAACGTGCACTAAATAAATGATGATAATTTATGACTGATGAATCCCGTGAGTCAACAATGACTGAAAATATTATTATATATGTATAAAAAAAAAAGTAACAAAAGGAACCGGACTAATTCAAGCAGGGGTGGTGGAAATCATACGATACGAGCAATTAGATCATGGGTTTTTGGGAGTCATTTGGGATGCAATACACTGCCCCGTGTGTGGTCGGATCTGTTGGGCCTCAATTGCAGAAGAGGAAAGTGGGGGTGGGAACTTGAATGAAGTTGTCCTTTTCAACAAGATGCAGCAGCCGCCCCAACGAGCTGTCACAAACATAGCATATGACTTCGTTTTGCATCTTTTCATTTGACCATTTTGCTGGACTGAATCTTCTCTGAAACCCTCAATAAAGTTGTCAGTTCTGTGAAAGAACAGGTAGCCGTAAAAGAGGTCCTAAGAATTGTCGCTTTCCTTAATAGTTAGGCCCCCATGTGAAGTTTCTGGACATGTGGAAAGCTTGATTCTTGCTTCATTTTCGGATTACAATCGAAACATCGCGGAAAAAAGTTGAGAAACAGAACAGCTACTAGACCATAATTTGATATACTTGCTCATTTATTTCAAGATTCCTTCTTTTCCAGGTTGAAAAGGAAAGCGAAAGGATGGAGTTTGAAGAACTTGCACCAGTCCAAGGGTGAATGGAGTTGCACTGTTTAAATGTAAATGTGCAATAGCTTTCTTTCTCTTGTTCAATGTGAAAACAATGCTGAGCACAATCAAAATCATTGTGTCCACCTGGATAGAACAACCCAATTCCTACCTTTATTTCAAATCAGGAATGTTTCTTCTTCAATACCGAAGCTGCAACTAATTGTACATTTTCCCTTCACATATTAAACAAAAATTATGTATCTTTACAAATATGCTGACCCTCCAATCAGTTTCTTGATATATTACAACTGTGTCTTTATACTTTCTCCATATTCAGAGGACTTGTCTTTCCAATACCATTGGCAAGCAAGATGAACGAGCAGTTGACAATCTGGCTCTCACTCTACAGTTGCTTCTCCCCGTAAGAGAATAACGTGAAGATTAACCCATGTAAATCTGCAGTCAAGGACATTTCATGCTACAAAATCATGTAACAAATGAGAGGAACTGAACCTGTGCTGCCGGTTACCAGGTTTTATGCATTCAAAATCTGCTGTTTCGGCTCCTACAGAAGATGCTGCAGGATTGTATATGCCATCCCTTCTCACTGCAACGAAACTTTGATGGCTACCACCTGACATAGGTATACTACCACCCTCGCAATGCTGCAATCCCAAAGTGAGAGACACCCCGCTTCCACTTCCAAACCTCCCCAATTCTGACATGTGATAAGCAGCAGCAGCAGCTGCCATAAACCGATCATTACCGCCACCAGAATGAGCAATTGCATCAGGAAAGAGATTAGAGTCATCCACATTAGGCCTCTTCTCTTCCCTTAGCTTCAGTAACCCATATTCAGTTTCAGTTTCTCCACGTGAGACATTTTGGAAACCAGCTCCAGTACTTGGTCCTGCCATTTCTACATCAGAAACGGGGTCTGATTTGGAATCCATCAATTGTCCAGTGCTACATCTCTCTGTGGCTGATGAACTCCCACTTTGTTGCAGATCTTCACCTCTGTCCTCAGAGGTCCTTGTATCACCTTTCGTTGCTTTGACTGCATTTTCAGAAGAAGAATTAGAGTCCATCTCTGCATCTGCAAATTCTTCCTTGTACATCTCTTCGACCATAGGCTTCCAGAGACGGACCCGTGCATTTATAAACCAATTGGAAACCTGAGCAGATGCATATATGTCATTAAGGCAACAACAATGAAATATATAGAAATTATGCCATGATGTAAGGATATTGTCTAAAGAGATGCTGGCACATACTGACCAACATCAACAACTTAACCAGAACAACAAGATACAGAACATGAATTTATTATATTCTAGCCATTGTTAACTTGCAGATAGAGTATGTACTGAGGGTTAAGAGGCTGCTGAATTACTCACTGCTATTCAGCTGGGGGAAACATGTCTAATAATATACTACCGACTCTTCCTAAATTTGGGAGAATTAGAGTCCATGTTTTCCAAATGGTGTTTTAGACATACTTGTTAAATCTTATTTCTACCATATATCCAACATGTTTGGCCACTGCTTCCACCTCTAATTTGAACCTTTTTATACTAAAAAACACTTTCCCAGCCAAGTTTCAAGTAAACACTCCTTACACCAAACAATTTGCTAATCCCGATTTAGCAAGCACTGCTAATCACAAAACTAGACATTTACAAACTCTGCCCCAAACTGCTGCTCTTTTTAAGACGACATATCATGTGTGCTTCATCATATCTTAGTAAGATGATGAGTTTGAGATTACCTGACTTCTAGTCAAGCCAGTTTGTCTTGCTAGCATGATCTTATCAGAATCCTTCGGGTAGCTGGAGAACAAAAATAGCAATAAGAACAACTGACACAATGAGATTTTTTGAAAGAGTAAGAATTGAGAAATCAGTAAGAAGGGAGTGTTATGTCAGACTTACGGATGAAGAAAATGCTCAAATAGCCAAGCACGAAGTATTGAAACCGAGCTTTCAGGCAGCCCTCTCTGAGGCCTCCATGCATGTTGTTGCATCATACCAAGCTGCTGAAGAGCTCTCTGTTGTCTCAGCTGCTGATCCACATACCGTAGACGAGTAATTCCTACTCCTTTACTGTTTTCTGAAGTATCCTGCTCCCCGAGACTTTTACGTGTTGCCCGAATTTGACCATTAATTGCATCACGCAAGCATCGGAAGTGGCGGGATATAGTCTGCAGTGCAAGCGCTGTGTAAGGCTTAGCTGCTCCACACCCTGCTATCACATCAAATGATGATACTACAATCTGCATCTGATGATAATACTGTTTATACCTTCTATCAACCTGCAGCAACAACTATTCAACATTAGACACAATCAGAGAAGAAAAGCAATAAGACAATTGAGGTATAACCAAGATCATAGGTCTAACATGATTAGTGAGACATTCATGCACAGATTAACAAGGTGAAGGATGATGCCATCTGAATGACTAATAAATTTAATCACATGAACCAATTGACATAACAACTTTCATAAAAGAAAATTTTTATGGTAAAGAAGATAGATGTCTGTCATTTTAGTTGCACCCATGAAACAAACAACAGAAAAGAACAAGATTCCACTGTATGAAAGCTTCTTTGTGAAACCAAAATGAAACTCATCCAACAGCTCCTAGGCCTCAGGATGCAACAGTTTTCTGAAAAGCTTACATAACATGTAGGAAGCTGAGGAGGAGATTGGATAACAAGTCAGTATGTCTTTCAGCAACTAGGCCATCCAAAAAATAAGTTGAAATTCTCAGTTTATTAATATCCTGGTTAAAAAGACAATCTCATCCCCAGAATCAAGGGCTTTTTTCTCCATTGAACCTTACTAAGTTTGTGAAAAGTTTTAGGCTTGATATATCTATCCTGAGGACAAGAAACCAAGTTTTCTTTCCGATGCTGGAAGTTTTTATCTTGCATAAGATGGAGACAAGAATGCACCTACATCCATGCACCATGTGTATGTGTGCTCACACAAACACATTAAGAGAGGGGAGGGGAGGTAGAATTTTGTGAACTCTTCAATGAATCTAATTGGAAAAAAAAAAATTCCAAGCTCAAATTTAGAGCATTGCAGTTTTTCAATTCTATGACAAAGTAATAACAAAGAGAGTAGAAATAGAAAACAGCCAAAAATTACACTAAATATAACTTATTTTGCTGTGTAAGTGCAAGACAAACACAAAAGAATGTGTTTATCTCAGCAAGAGATGGGAAAAAACTACAATGAAGTGATCTGCCTCTTACCTCATCCAACATGGACAACAGCTTTGTTAACTTGCTTTGCAGTTCTTGTCTTTCAGCATGTGACATCTCGTTTGGAGAGTTGTTGGAGCATTCTTGCTGGTTTGAAGGCACATTCTTTGATCCCCCATCATCATCCGTGGAACTCTTCATCCGGTCTTGTGAGCTTTGGTTTTTCTCTCCATCAGGCTGCTTTAGAGCCTTTCGAACATTAACAACTTCATCAAGCAGCTGTTGTGCTGCCTTGAGATATTTGGAATTAGGAATAGTTCTTGCAATACTTGACATCCCATATGCAGACAAATCCCCTTTATTTGAATCTTGGTTACCTCCAGAAAAACCAGGTGGCAGATATTCAGCATTTCTTGACTGTTCATCTCTAGAAGAGCTATTCCTGCTGCCACCTTCTCCGGTAAGTGATGGATTTGGACTCAAGAATGAAGCAAACCCTGAATTGGGATTTCGATAGGGCATGGAAGGCATTTGAATTCCAGAGGGAATTTGGGTACCAAGGCTAAGGGACAGTCCTTGCCCTTGCAAGCTTTGACCACCATGGAGGAAGCTGGCAGGACCACCCATTGGATGCATAACTAGCATTTCGTTTCTACCATCCCTCCAAGTACCAAAATCATGCTCCCCAACTCGGGAGCCACCAAGGTTTGACAAGATTTCTTGATGCTGTGAAGTTGAATCTGAAGCTTCCACAGCCTGAATCTCAATGCAGTTATTTTGTTGCTGAGAATTCCCAGCGAATGCGTCTGAGTATGAACCAGAATTCATATACATCATAGAATTAACAGGAAGAACAGGTGCCTCTGGATATGAACCAGGCATCGATTCTCTTAAATAGATCATTGCGGCGGTATCTCTTTGATTATTGGAACCAGTGTAATAAGTAGCCATATTTCTCTCAATCTGGAAACTTTCCTGGCGCCCCGTTCAAGTCAGATTACATAGTTGCGCCATGAACTGAAACTAGGCAATAGAAATGACTTCCATTATAAACAATTGGAGCATATTTAGAGAATAGAGTTAAGAAGAAATGAAAACTGAAGTAGAAAAATCTTATATGCACATCTTACTCTCACCCAATACATAATCTCAAAAGAAGTATAATCTTTATCCAAATTTGTAAAAGTCACAGGCTAAGCTTCTTGACATTTTACAATTATCAGTTTCTATCATGAATGGATGCTTTACTAGTGAGCAAAGCATTCAAAACAGCAATCGTCTGCAGCAAACAACACTGAAAACTTTTAAATAAAAGCGTACAGAAGAACTGAACATAAATAGAGTATTCACTATGCATGAGCCCATCATATTCATCTGGATTTTGTTAGGTTTCTGAGCTGGAGAATTTTACAGATGAACAACAACTATGAGAAATCTACAATCACTTCCAAAAAAAATCCCATTAACATTTAAAACAAAACTTAAACCAGGGGAAACATGATAACAAAAAGATAACTAGGGAAGAAAAGGAAGAAGTTCAAGTGAGAGCCAAAGAAAACATAAATTTTTTATCAAATATCCAACAAAGAAAAAAAAATGAAGCAAAAAAGAACCAAAGAAACAAGACAAACCCAAAATCTGTTAATCCCAATAATTTACTTTCTTATGATGATCATCTTGTCCAGGCACAAAGAGAGAAGAGAAAGATAGTGGAGAGAGAAACATGGGAAAAAGAACACAAACAAAAAAAAAATTAAAGACAATATCTACATCTCTTGGGTTAAGAAAATGAAAGATAAAGTCAAAAATTGTATATATAGGAATAAAAAAATACCTTGAAACCAGTAACAGTTGTGGGAGTTGTGGGAGTTGTGGGGAACAGGAATTCTCAAAGACACCACCCGATCCGCTGCTGATAACAAAATCCTTAAGAAACCAAACACTTTGCGATCCCAAGAACCCAGAAGAACAACCACCCAACACTTCACTTTTCATCGAAATTTTTGCACATACCACAATAAAAATATCAAAAAAGAGATAAACCCAAAAAAAAAAGAGCCTTTTCGGTTTGTTGATAGAAATAAAAGGCAATGATAATAATAATTCAAACTCAAAGAGAGAGAGAGATAGAGCAATGAATTATATCACTTTTTTTTGCTCCTTTTCCCTAATCATATATTCTCTATCCATCATTTCCATCAAACCCCACGTGAGAGATTCACTCAAACTTGAACCTTATACCTCCTCTCTCTCTCTCTCTCTCTGTCTCTCCCCTTCAAAAGATGATAGTTTTCTCTCTTCTAACTATTTATTTCTTCTAAAAAATAGCTTCCTCTTTTTGGAGATAAAAGAAGAAACTTTTTTTGCTTTTTGAGGTTCTTGCTTTGAAACCCAGTTGTAGTAGTTGGTAGTACTTGTCCTCCTTCTCTCCCCTCCCCACTCTCTCTCTCTCTTTTTGCTTCTTCTTTCAAATTCTTCCACTACTGCTTTCTTTCGTCCTTCCCTTTCTTCCTCTTCTTCTTTCTTCTTCTCCTTTGGCTGTTGTTGAGGATATGTTTGGTTAAGGAGTTCTATCTCTAACTACCAGTTGGTGGACCTAAAACCCTCCCTTAAACCTCCTCTTTTATCACACCATCTCTCTCTCTCTCTCTCTCTCTGTCTTTCTCTCTCAATCTCTTTGCTGTCTCTCTCATCCTTCAGCATGGAAGGTCTGGTTTTTCTTTTGCTGCAATATCCACCATATAACCCACATTCTTTTCTTTTCTTTTCTTTTTATCTTTATTTTTATTTTGTTTATTTATTTACTACTACTGTCTACTAGTACTAGTTTTTTTGTGTACTTTTTCTTAATTTTGTTTTTTTTCCGTATTTTCAATGTTAAAGGCGCACCGCTAGGTGCCCATATCACTGTGCTTGTCTTTTTCTTCTAACTAATGTTTAGTTTAGACTCCACGGCTCTGTACTTCTCTTTATTTATACTTTTACCCCTTCATTTTTTTCTTATTGCATTATTATCTTTACAAATATTAATTTTTTCATTTCTTTGGGGTTAAAATGATTTCAACTTCAAGCCAAATTATTAAAAAAAAAAAAAAAACTGGCCTGGCCTTTTGCTAAACGAGAGCTGCAATCTGATGGATGAGAACTAAAGATTCGAAAAAGGTGTGTCTGCCCTTTAAAGGGTGCAGGGGAAGAATACTAGTGTCCGTAATATTTTATATTATTTTCATTAAAATATACGCAATTCACATAAAAAAAAAGAAATAATAGTTTTTCTCCACCTAATACAGATATGTTTTTTTAGATCGAAAGTACAAATCCGTGACAAGAGAATATAAAAGTAATTTCAATAGTTTTTTTTCTCGATTTTCTCTTATTAGTTTGGTATCCAAATCCAAGATGTTATCTTTTTATTAAATACATATAATTAACGTTTGATTATATTATCATTAGTCGTTGGTGACGGTGTGTAGCATGATTTAAAGAAACTAAGAATAGGTTAGTATTTGTTTTAAGGTGATTAGGTTTATCAAATCAAAATACTAGAAATTAAATGTAGGCTTTAAATTTGGTTACAAATAAAGCTAAAAGTTCAATACCAAACATCTTATCTTAATTGCCTTTATTCTAGAAACCCCTCCCAATTTTCCAAATAATACCTACTATTAGAAGATAGAGTGTGGCATATGCTTGGTTTTTCACGGAAAAACCCTACCAAAAATGTTCTCATCGTTTTCAATTCGTTGACCATCAAATAGTTTGTTTATTTATTTATTTTTTTGTCTCTGGCCATAAAATCAAGGGTCAATTTCTCTTTGATGGCATAAAGTTCTGCAAAAGAGACCCAATAGTCAGGCAATTCCCCCAAAAAAAGGTATAAATGTGCAAATATTGAGGCAAAATTTGGATGATTGATTATGGGTAACATAATTTGTAGGGTAAGGCACTTATAATATTGGTATATATGGACCCCATGAAGCTGCAATTCCCCAATTTTTTTCTTACACAAAGAATAAACTAGTTTAGATTGCCTCCATCATGTAGTTACTAAACAAAGATTTATAAGAAGTAGGTCCATTTCACAAATTTAATTATGCAATTTATATTGCTGTCAAGTTTGAGTTGTATATACTTTATATGCATTCAAAGTTCATAGGGAAGAAAGTTCAAACTTAATTGAAGTATCCTTTCATAGGTAAACTCATGTGATAGAAGAGTCAAAGGACTTGAATTAGTCCTATAATCTTGAATTTCGATTTTTTTTTATGATTATCAATAGAAATTTATATAAACTACTATAATTTAACCGATGAATAAGAAGATATATATATTTGAATTATTTTATATATAATTAGACCTCCCACCAATCTCTATTGGGGTATTTCATGCCTAATAAGAACATTTGACAGCTTACTAAAGTAATCAATGCAAGGATCATCCCTTGTAGCTTTTGGTTCCTAATTTATATTAGTGAATAATTAGGGATCCCCAACAGTCCCACGTTTTTCATTCTCATCACTGCCCCTGAAAAAAAGAAACCCTAATTAAACACATTGTTTAGCTTAGAAGACAAACAAAAAGGCAATAATTGTGTCTTATAAACAAAAGATCGAATGGCAGAGCCATACAAACCAAACCTCTCTAGCTGAAGGGGTGGAAGGGCATTTTGGTAATAAAGGGAAATCATAGGAGCAAACTGACAAAGGCCAAAAAGCTGCCCAGGAGACAGAGAAGCTGAGGGGAAGGGAAAAAGGAAAGAGCTTTGACGTGAATTGAATTGAATAGGTTTTGCTGTGTTTGCTGCAGGGAGAGAGAGAGAGAGATGTCGTTGGGATTCGCGAAAAGAGTAAAGTAGGAAATCTAAGGTTAAATAAATGGAAAGATGTGATTGGTTGGAGGAAGCAAGATTCACTCTCATACGTATGATTCCGTAGCTGGGTTTATCCTTCTCTTCTTTTTTTTTTCTTTTCATTGCTTTGTCTGATACAAAACGGCCACATCTCTCACCTTCGTTTTGTAATCATTATCCCTTTTTCTTTTATTAAATAAAAACTCAAAAGTGTGTACTTACCAATACTTAAAAATAAAATTATACTGTCAAAAAACAAAAAAATAATTAATATGGTATTTTATTTAATCCAATTATACTTATTTATCACATCAAGAAAATGCGATTTGGCAAGAAGCCGATTTTTGTCAATATTTGTTGTAAGTTGTGTCCATCGGCTACAAACATCTATGCTTTGTTTAGGGAAACATTGGCCCTGCCTACATTTTGTACGATTGGAGCTGCATATTTCCTATTAAAAGCCACTTTCTTCCCTCCGTCCAAAGAGTTATTGTTTCTGTTTCATTCCTTTTTTCTTTTTCTTTTTAAATAAATTTAACCTTAGCACGAGATTAAACAAATAAATTTAGAGCATTTCATATTACAAATTAATTTTTGGATTAAATATAAGAAATTACAAGTATTAGACATTTAAAAATTTAAGATAATGTGATTTTTGGATGAAGAGAGTTTTTTCTTTCTCATTATTTGCTCGTGTTGAATGAAAAAAAAAAAAGTTAACACCACATTATAGGATAAAATACTATATTAAATAGTACTGAGTGGCTATTCCAATTTGTCAATAAATTAGTGAAGTCTTTGGTATAGATGGATTAAACTCTAGTAACATTAAGAACGTAAGTTTGGTTTTCTTTTTATTTTCAAAATTTTAGCATCGAATTGACTGTTTATACATTCTTGATCATAATTAATAAGGAATATTTTGAAAATAATCCATAATTCATTAACCAATAGTTTCTAATTATGGAAGAAAAAAAATCACTCAAGAAATAAAAAAAAAAGGATATAAAGAAAGCGTCAGTTGCCAAATTATTAAATTTCAAAATGAATTTTGGTCGATTGGCTTTGCAGAATACATTGGTTAAATAATATATCTCCTAAAATGAAAATTTGTCATGAGAAACAGGAGACTTTGAAGATTTCTAAGCATTTTTCTTTTTGTACTTGTATATGGTAGCATGCAAGAAGAGTGCCTTAATCAAAGTAAACCATATTCTTATCCAATAAAAAGCATTTAAAAAAAAAAATCCCCTTTGAATGTACATTGGTCATTGGTTACGTTCTTGGCACCAAACTTTTATTAATATATATAGGAGGCCATTAAGAGAATCCCCGCGGCCGGCACGTGGGAATTATTTAAATAAAAAATATAACTCACCTCCACTTACCAACTTTTATTTTCTTTTTATAACTAAAAAATCTAAACTACTTGTGCAATTTTTAAATGAGTATGATGATTTTTATAAGCGAAATAGCCAACTGTAATCTGGTTTACATTAGCTTAGTCGTTAATCCTCAATTAACAAATACTAAAAATTAACAAGCTTATCTTTCGCTTTGGAACGAGTAGGCAAAAAAACATCCAATGTTTGATTAACTCGAACTGACACGTGTGCGGTTTGATTACATGATTAGCGTATAATCAGCGATTAATTAATTTAGTTTCTGATGTGGAATGTGGTCCCCGTGTTAGCTTTTAGAATCAGCCTATGATGCAAAAGAACTGGTTGTCAAAAATGGGGTAGGGGCTTCCCCCCCCTCCCCCCTCCCGCCCACGTTCAAGACGGAAGGAAGGGGCGGGGTTTCCATCAGTGGATGATATCAGCGGTGACAAAAGGAGGTGGGCCCAAGTTGATAATGCTGGTGGGCCCCACAAGAGACGCAAAGTCTAGGAGGCTTTTTGTCTTTTTGGCCATGCATTTTGTTTGTTTAGTATAATCGAGAAAGAAATGGACCGCCCCTTCCCTCCCTATCTCTATCACACCCCCCTTTTATTTATTTATTAACCTAACCTTAAATTTGTGGCAGTTCTGCTTTCACTTGGCGTAGGTTTTGCTTTACTTCACCTCAAAACAGAAATATATAAAGCCAAGGTTGATTCTGCTTTAGTTTTCTAGCTCCTACTTTCTGGTCAGCAGTCATCACTTAGTTCATTGTTTTCATATTTTGGGTTTGAGTTTTTACTCTATAAAAGTTACCATAAATTTACTAAGTACATATAAATTTCCATCCATTTAAGTTAGATTAATTTGAGTGTGACAAATCAGAGTAAAAAACTTTATTATTCTTGTACACGAATATCTATTTATTTTTTTCATCGACTCCCAGCATGCTTACTTTGCAGAGATTTAATGCCAAGTCTCCGTAATGACCTTTTTCTGAATGAATTTATTACATTCTACATGAATCCCGCAAGCCGTACAAATTTTGTTAGTTACGAGGCAGTGATTTTTGCAAAATTTATAGTACTACTACGATTAGTATACTTTTACCTCTCTGCATTTATTTTTCTTAAATCTGTTAGATAGGTTCGAAAGCGTGGCTCCTCTTTTCCTAATTAATCTATTTATTTAGACTTTTTTTTTTTCATGAACTGCTAGGAATTGGGCTCACTCTTCTCTGTCTCAATTAAATGGAGAAATTCCAGTCGTCCTCAACATGGACCACACACAATAAACATAAACAGCTCAGTATTATTGGTTCATTCAAGTATCAGACGAAGGCCAGCTGCTGTAATGCTATAGCAACCAGAGAATCCATTTTTTTCACTTTATGAGCTATGCTTATAGCAGGAGAAAAGAAAATATGGAAAATTGGAAATAATTAGTCCATTCATATATTAAATTGAATGGTAGTTTGAACAAGTGAGAGTAGAAAAATTCACGATGCTGAAACTTAATAGTTATACGAAATTATGAATTATTGGTCACACACGAGATTTTCTTGCTGAAAAAGGATAGGATTCCAGAGGTAACTTTTCCAGCTTTCTCCTGCTGGATAAACTGGTGTCCATCGATGTCAACAACTTCAAGGTCAGTTACAAGGCTCCTAAATTCTTCTCCTTCAACATAATAGTCTTTTGTTCCAGATGAGTGAAACCCAGCAGTTATGAATTTTGTAGGTCAAGTAATTCTCGCTCCTTGCCGTGGTCCAAGAAGCTCCCAGTTCCTACGTTCATTCCAAGGACAATAAATATAGAAATGCAGTCAACTGATTGTTGCTTCTAAGAAAGAGAAAGATGTCATTATTCTGTATTATATATCTTACATGTCCATGGCACTATAGTAGTTCAAGGCACCGGTAAAACCAGATTTTTGGAAATTGCTTGCTTGGAATTCAAGGTTCTCCCTGGGTTATCCACTGAGGCAAGGAAGGTGGGGTCTCAAGAAAATCTATAATTTCAACCCCAGGAGGATAAGCTAGAAGATGATCAGGGGCGTTGATGAACAAAAACTTCTTCAGTATTGTCAAAGAGTCGTATTTTGAGAATGATTTTTCTTCTCTTCCTGGCTCCAACAATACAAACAAACAAACACTGCTGTCTATAATGGCAGATTATTACGGTTACAAGTTAGAAGATCCAGCTGCCGATTAGAACTAATTTTTTCTAGTACCCTTTCGTGGAACTGGGAGATATAGAAACCTTCTCCATATATTTCGGTCATGGCCTTAATGGGTTTGATATTTGGTGAGCATGGCCAGCAAGGTACGCTTAGATTAACCAGGGCTTTAACTCTATCTGGCCTGAAGAGGCAAAGGTGCTGCCAATGCAACTTGTGCACCCCAATCATGTCCCACCACAAATGCTTGTCCAGAAAGACCACATTGTTTTGTTTGTAGCATTAGTGCAAAATGGAATATTTTTGGCAACATCAGAAAAAAAGAATTCCAAGTTTATATTCACATTTTTTCCTTTTTCCATGTTCCATGAGCAAATGGGTGTTTTCCGTATTGTTCGATTCAATCATGACTTTCATGCAAAGAAAGAAAGAAAAAAGAGAAGATAAGAACAACTTAAAATGAAATCGATTTGCACCTGTCTTCTGCCGAGTTCATCTAGAAAGCCCAACTAAGTCTCCAACAAGATGGAGAAGTGTGAAAGAGGATGGATTCTCGAGGAAGTCCCAGTCTCCGTAGCCACGCATGTCTGGTGCAACGACGTTAAAACCGTGCTCAGCCTAATGATTTGTCTGGTAATTCCAGGAGGACCACAGCTAAGGAAAGCCATGAATAAGTAGTACGACTGGTCCTCCTTTCTCTGCTATGTGCATCCAGATTCCATCGGTCCGGACCCCTCTACGTTTAATGTCACTCTCCAACGTGATTATATTCTTCCATTAATATTCATTTTTACAAGGAGTAGTTGTTTGATGATTAAAACTTTAGAGTTCTCTATGTTAGGTGCAGATGCTTTATACTTTATTTTTAAAAAAAATTATTTTATAATATAAAATATATAAAAAATAATAAAAATAATTAAAATAAGTGAAATACTACTTTACGTAAAATAATTAGAATAAATAAAACATTAAAAAAATAATTAATACAAATAAAATAATTATTTAACATAGATATACGAATAACAGGAAAAATAACTCGAAATAAATGACAAAATTTATGAATTATTTTCATTTTAAAATATTTTAGAGGATTTTGTTTGATGGCTTAGATATGAAAGTAATTAAGTAAATCTCTTTAAATATAAATATCTCCCCTCTTGTTCTCCGATACCTGTTTCTATTCAATTACAGTTTTTTTTTAGTTTAATTAAGTACTTTCTTATAACTGTCATTTTTTACAATATATATATAAAATCTTCTCAATTAACTCGAGATCTTTTCTTTTACTGAACTAATACATTTTGTTTTAAAACTTATTCTAATTCTTTTCCATTTATCATGACATTCAATACTAAACTATTTCAATCTTTCTTTCCTTTGACGCATTCTTTTCTTGTTTGTAATTTTTTTTTATTTTTTTATAATAAGTATCGGTCAGCTAGAAGAAAAGTTCAAAATATTGACCCTAATAACATTTCTCATCAAATTAGCAAAATTCCTTCGATTCAGTTGAATTTGAACACACATGATACTTTTCCCAACTTTTTCCATGAAAAATAAGTAGTTGGCTTTGCAGTCTTGAGACGTTTTGTTGCGTTATAGGCAAAGAAAGATATTTAAGAAATTACGAAAATTAATGGTATTGGTTTTTGAGTTTATAAATCTTAAAATTGGTTCACCCAACTTTGAAATCAGTTAAAAAATTTTTTAAATTAGTTCAATTCATAAAATATTAAAATTAATTTATAAAATTTTTAAAATTTATTCACTAAATTTTAAAATTAATCCACAAAATCTTCAATATCAATTTATCAAACTTTTATAAAATCGGTTTAAAAAACTCTAAAATCGATTTAAAATATTATAAAATCTGTTCATCAAACTTTAAAATCAATTTATTAAATTTTAAAATTGATTGACTAAACCTTAGATTCATCGAACCATAAATTTGATCCTGAAATCCTAAACTCATAATCTCTAAAATGGGGATAGCAACAAGAGGGATTTTGCCATTACAGCTCCATTCCGCTTTGCTCCCACTTTGTTGAGTAAAACTCTTGTTGAATTTTGAATATTTTCTCGGTTCGATTTGTTTTTTTTTTTTTTGAATATTTAGATGTTATGTTGTTAAAAGACAGATGTGTGATGTGCAGGTACCAACTGGCTAAAGATTTGTGAGCCCACTGAACGAGACATTAAAAAGCCAAAAAGGTCTGGAAAATTCTGAACCTGAAGCAAAACAGAGTCAGCCTCCTGGCCATAATGCTTTGGAAATATCAATTGACAATTATGCACCGGAGATGAACTCTTTATTGAATCCATGTATCGGCCGCTGTAGCAGATTATTATCCTACTACCTTTTGTTGGACGAAATAACTTTTCTTTTCACAAAAACAATTATTTTATTTTGATGAAAAATAAATGATTTCATAAATAAAAATAATTGATAGACCAGAGATTTATTATTACTACCGACTATTTCATCAAAGAAAAAAATATAAATCTTTTAAAAGAAATTAAATTATTTTAAAAATTTTAAATATTTATTTATTTATTTTTTACATCAAATTAACTTTTAATATGTTAATTTTTAATAAAAATAAATTCTTATAATTAATGATTGAATAATGATTGTTACTTAAAAATTATTTATAATTTTATATCAGTTGATGTTGAATAAGATATTTATTTATATTTATTACTATTAGTATTTTGAATAATAAAACCCTAAGGTTGGGAATAGAAGTTAATTTAACTGTAATATTTATCAAAGCCGAGGATTCAATTGACTTTTGCTTTGTTGAGACATTTTATCACAATACCGTTTTTAGTGAAAATCGGCCCAAAGTTTTTTGTATTGCAAATATTTATTTTTTGACATTTTCAAGTGGTTAAAATCAGAATTTTAATCCGAGTTCGGCCCGTAAACGTATGGACCGAAACGTGTTTCGGGCCTTAAATCCAAGCGTCGCCCAAGAAATCTTATCCATTTTCGTTTCCGACCCGAACCCGCTCAAAATTTAAACCCCAACACATGATGCCCACACCCTTCCTTCTCGAGCCGAGGTTTTTGGGATTTTAGGTTCCAAATTTCATTCACTTCTTCAGCGGCCAAAACATCAATGGGCAAGAAGAAGAGATCCGAGAAAAGACCCGAATCCGAACACTCACCTTCCACTGTCTTTGTCACTAACTTGCCCTACTCTTTTACCAACTCTCAGGTATTTTCTGTCCTGGAAAATAAGCTTCAGGACTATGCCTTAAGTTCTTCTTTTTAGTATTTTTTTTTGAATTTTTTTTGAATTTTTTCCAGCTTGAAGAAACATTTAGCGATGTTGGTCCAATCAGGCGTTGCTTTATGGTTACAAAGAAGGGTTAGTGGCTAAGTGCTTTGAGGCACACAATTAATTTTTCGTCATGGTTTTAGTCATTCGTTCATAAGAATACTGATATGTTCTTTATCTTGTTCATAGGGTCAACTGAACATCGTGGTTTCGGTTTCGTTCAATTGTAAGTGACTTGAGGTTCATTTTTATCTTTCGTTTTGTTTTTATTTTTCTGTTTGTGGCGCTATGTTTTGTTTTACAAACTTTATTAATTCGAATAGTTGGGCGGAATTTTCATGTTTTCTTTGGTGATAAACTTTGGAGTTTACCTTTTGGTCATGTATTTGCATCTCTTTTGCAGTGCTGTTACCGAAGATGCCAATCGTGCTATTGACCTGAAGAACGGTTCTTCTATTGGAGGTCGGAAAATTGGAGTTAAACATGCTATGCATCGTGCACCATTGGAACAGCGAAGGTCAAAGGCAACCCAAGGTTTGTATATTTCTCTATAGTTCTGGAAGTCTATGTATATATTCTCCTGAACCTTAATGAATGGCTGCCTCAGATGATGGGACGAAGACAAAAGATGACAAGGATGGTTTTACCTCAACTGTGGATGAGCATGGTTCAAACCCACCAAAATTAGGTTGCAAAAGTTTTTATATTATTCAATTATAGTTATTTGTTGTTAGTTTTCATTAGTGACTTGTTTTCTTTCCTGATTTTTATTTGATATTGTAAAATGTAAATTCAGAGAAACCTGTGCAATCTAGAAAAGCAGGAACACTTTGTGCTGATCTAGCTGATAAAGAGAATTGTTCAGAAAAGCAGAGGTACTGAATTCTTTTGCCAATCTTTGTGACAAACTACTCTTCCTTATATCAAATATTGGAATTAGATAAGGACCCTTAATATCATTGTCTATTTCCTGGCAGCCAATTTCGAATTAAATTTCAATTGTAAAATGAATCTTTTGATTTTTATTTTTTTGCCAGATCATATTAGAAATATATTTTTCTGATGTACTTTTCATTATTGCTTCACAATTATGATATTCACTTTCTAACTCATCAAGGCATGACCTTTCTGTCCCCTGTCAACGTGATGAAGGGTTGCTAGGACTGTGATATTTGGTGGTCTTGTTACTAATGAGATGGCAGAAGATGTTCACCGATGTGCAAAGGAGACTGGCACAGTCTGTGCTGTAACTTATCCTCTCCCAAAAGAAGAGCTTGAACGACACAGTAAGTGAGAAAGATGTTCTTTGCTACCATTTAACCGGTTTTTTTCTTTTTTACCCCCCATGAAACCCAAAAAATGAACACTTAGAAGTAGTATAATGTTCTATCTGATATAACTACCATAATTTGAAAGGCTCTTTGGATGGTCGTGATAGGGTACCGAAAAAGTTCTTTTTTCTACAATGTTAGTGTACAATATATTCTTTATAGACATATCATCAATTGGAATAGTTTATGATTTAAGCGTACTTGGTTGTGACATGTGGTATTTGGTATGGCATATAATGCACTTCATGCTGGTCTTTGGCATGTTCACACACCATTGCTGTAATGGCTTTCAGCACATACTGGGATGCTTTATTGCCCATATTTATTCACCAAAAAATCTATTAAGTTGCAGTATTTAGGTGCTTCCAAATTTTTCATTGTTATATTTTGTTAAAACATATGGCAATGGTTGCTAAATTGAAAATTGACTGATAATCCAAGTTTTTGTTTGAGGATTATTTTAATTGTTATGGGATAATAACAAGCCATAAAATGCAAATTTTACCAGGTCTTGCACAAGATGGATGCAAAATGGATGCTTCAGCTGTACTTTTCACAAGTATCAAATCGGCTCGTGCTGTTGTGGCAATGTTACACCAGAAAGAGATACAGGGAGGCATTGTTTGGGCACGCCAGTTGGGTGGTGAGGTAAAGTAACCATGATAAAGCTGTCATGATTGAGTGAAGAAATTCTATTAGTTCATATTTTTTTAGTTCATACTTTTAACCATTTTTGCCTGAGATAATCTAATTATTTCTTTCTGGTACTTCTGGTCCAGGGCTCCAAGACTCAAAAGTGGAAAATTATTATCAGAAATCTTCCTTATAAGGTTATTTGATGCTGACAGAATGTTACCCCTATCACTGATTTTGCTGGTTGAAACTTGAAAGCGCTTGACTTCTAAAGTAGTTTGCTGAACATTATTGTAGGCTAAAGTAAATGAGATAAAGGATATGTTTTCATCAGCAGGGTTTGTCTGGGATGTATTTCTTCCATATAATTCTGAAACGGGGTATGTTCTCTTCATCCAAAATTATTTAAATTTGTCTATTAAATTTTGTATTTTTTTTCATTCATATAGTGGTTTTTTTCTTTTTTTTTTTCCAGGTTATCTAAGGGTTTTGCTTTTGTCAAATTCACATGTAAACAGGATGCAGAAAATGTAATCCCTCTGGGCTGTCCTTTACTCCAAGATATGAAGCTTAGGGTTTTTTGCTTCCTGTTTTTACATTATTTTTTATTTTCAGGCTATTCAAAAGTTCAATGGGGAAAAGTTTGGTAAAAGACCCATAGCTGTTGACTGGGCGATTCCAAAGAAACTTTACAGTGGTGGTGCTAATGCTGCTGTTGCTTCAGATGGTGGTTTGTGTCCTTAACTGAATTTCTTCATCAAGAATGCTTATTTTTTTGTCTTCTCTGAGTCTTTGCCTGTATCACCTAGAGCTGAATGAGCTGTCTTGACTTAATGGATAATTTATCTATATTAATTATCTAATAAAGAAGCTATATTTCTCATGGCTATAGAAGCAGAGAAGATAAACATATGAGAGTAATCTTTCAACAAAAAAAAAAAAAATGAGAGTAGAGATTTATTGAAAAGTATTAAAGAGGTTATTTCTTAGTTATTTTATGAAGTGAATTGCATATGTGCAATAAGATTCATCTGCCATGCATGGTCTCCTGCTAGTTTGTTATTTATTGACTTCTGAATAGTGATTAATTCCCTGTTTGAATATTCAACTATTATCATGTGTGGGTTTATTTTTTATTTAATTTTGCAAAATAATGTATACGTGTTTGTGTATCACGCACACACACACACACACACATGTATATATAAAACATCTTGACTACGGTAAGGTTTTGGAGCTTGAGTTTTCTATACCAAATGTGTAGTGATGTTCCTGACATATGTTGAAGATGGTGCCTTTCCTTCACTGTAATCGATATGTTCTATTTTAACCCTTCTCTTCTAGACTTGGCTTTTTATATGTCATACCATTTTCTTGATAAAATCCTAATATTTTTTTTCTTCTTTTACTTTAGCATTTTAGTTTGCAATGGAATATCCATCTCATTAGATTGCTTTAACAGGGCAGCTGAATGAAGGAGACAAGGAAAGTGACAGTGGTAGCATTGATATGGAGGACGAAGGTGGGGATGGTCACAGTGATGGTGGTATTGCTTCAAATGACTCGAATATGTCAGACACAGCAAGAGCACCAACAGCAATTGATTTTGATATGGAAGCAGACATTGCAAGAAAAGTTCTAAATAACTTGGTGACATCCTCTCATGATGATGCCGTTCTGCCCAAGAGTGATGATGAGTTGAATGTAGATGAAACCATTAACGTACAAAATAAGTCACTTATTGAATCTGCAGTAGGATTAGATATGACTAAACCTGAAAAATCCATCAAAAATAAACAAGCAAATATTAAACAGACAGATGGAGAAGGTGATTTGCAGAGAACAATATTCATAAGCAACCTTCCTTTTGATATTGATGATAAAGAAGTGAAAGAAAGGTTTTCTGGATTTGGGGAAGTGCAATCTTTTCTTCCAGTCTTACATCCAGTTACCAAGTGAGGACTCAATCTAGTTTGAAATGTTTTCTTTTCTTACCCTTTTAAGTTAATAAGTACCTATGTTTTTCTTGCTCCTCTGACAGGCGACCGAGAGGAACTGGTTTTCTCAAGTTTAAAACAATAGATGCAGCTATTGCAGCAGTTTCAGCAGCAAATGCTGCATCTGGTTTGGGTGTTTTTCTCAAAGGTAGACAACTCAAAGTGTTGAAGGCTTTGGATAGGAAATCAGCTCATGATAAGGAACAGGAGAAGGCCAAAGTTGAGGAACATGACCATCGTAATCTTTACTTGGCAAAGGTTGCTTTACCTAACAATTAACAGTATTTCCATTGATGTAATGTGGTTGCAATATTGTTTTGACATTCTTGTTTTTTTGGCTTAATAGGAAGGTCTTATAGTTGAGGGGACTCCAGCTGCTAAAGATGTTTCAGCTAATGATATGGAAAAACGCAAAATGTAAGGATTTTTTATTGGTTTCCCCTGGTTATGTAAGTGAGATACTGAGCATCAATTTCTCTCCTGCCTATGTTGCTGCATAATGCAAATGGGTGCTATCAGGTTGACTGCTTACTGCTTAGTAGTTAACAGGTTTCTAGTTTGGCCAGGAATGATTTGAATGGATAGTCAAAACCAAAACTTAGATGTTGTCTTCTGAATATCTCATTGTGTTTGTTATATGGAAAATTGTTGTTATGGTTTTCTTCTCCCACGTAGAGTCCTTTTTTAATAGGAAAGAAGGTGTGAGTTTGTTACAAAATCCTCAAATTTGACCTAGCTTTAGGTTTTGAAAGTAACTTGATAATGGAATGACTTCTTGATGGCCCTGCTGATTCTCTTGTGTAATTTCACTTTCCTATATTATTATTCTAAAGCTTTTTGGATGCCCTGCAGGTTGCATGAAAAAAAGATGACCAAGCTTCAATCTCCAAATTTTCATGTTTCAAAAACAAGACTTGTTATATACAATTTGCCAAAGTCCATGACTGAAAAAGAATTGAAACAACTTTGTATTGATGCAGTCATCTCGCGAGCTACAAAGCAAAAACCTGTAATACGACAGGTTAGCTAAAATTTTTAATCTGTTACTATAAGGTGTTTTTCTTTTTAATTTTTTGTATAATTTTCTAGATATTTAGAGTATTCTCTCATAACTCTGATATTCCTCATGCAGATTAAGTTTTTGAAAAGTGTGAAGAAGGGGAAGCTTGTTATTAAGAATCAGTCACGTGGAGTTGCTTTTGTTGAGTTTACAGAACATCAACATGCACTTGTGGCCCTGAGGGTTCTTAATAATAACCCTGGTAATGCCTCTCATTGGAATATCTCATACGCTATGATTGGCTATGCTTTTGCTTTTAGCTTACATACATTCAAAGGGTGGTTTAACAATGGGGAAAAAGTTAGTTAAGTGTGTGATTTTCTTTTCTATTCTAATCTAAAATGGTCATTGGTTATTTGCAGAAACTTTTGGTCCTGAGCATCGTCCAATGGTGGAGTTTGCTGTTGATAATGTTCAGACTTTGAAGCTGCGGAAAGCTAAGTTACAAGCTCAGCAGCTGGATGGTCGTGATGATATGAACAATGCACCGCAAAATGCTGAATCACATTCATTTGATACTCACCTTACCAAATCCAGAAAACGGAAGTCCACAGATGACAAAAGGGTAACGAAACATCCAGAGTTCAAAAAGGCTGAGATGGAAAATGCAGTTGCCACTGAAGAAGGCCAAGCTACTAAGAAGCCAAAGCATAATCCAGACAGTGAAAAGACAAAACCAACTTCTTTGAAAGAAAATTTGGAAGGCTCCAATTGGAAGTCGAAGGGGTCAAATCGTAGGCCTAAGGATCGCAAAGGTGCCCTGAAGCCTGATGTTGGAAGTTCAGATAAGGTTCAAACAACCGCTAATGATACCCACAAATCAAAATCATTCAAGGAGATCGAAGCAGTTTTGCAGCCAAAAGAGAGGATGCCACAACAACAGGCAAAGCAGCAGGAGGGAGAGAAAAGTTCTAAAAGGAAAAGGTCACAAAAGAATAAAACACAATCAGGGCGAGATGTAGTGGACAAACTCGATACGCTAATTGAGCAATACAGATCTAAATTCTCACAGCCGAAATCTGAAACACCTGGTGCTGAAAAGCAAGCTTCTAAAAAGCTAAGAAGATGGTTTCAAGCTTAATTCCCATTTTGGCAGGTTTTAGCCGGTTTTGTAGCATGTCTTAAAAGATCCATCTTTAGAAAAATGAGAAGATTTATTGAGGCGATTGATGTTAAAGCAATTGCTATAAGTTTTGTACATTTTTATAAGTAACAATTTTGTGCACTTGTAACATGTAGGTAGCAATTCAACTCCATTCTGTTTGTTGTTACATACTTGATTGAGAAAATTTTGGCATTTGATGATATAACCTTCCTAAAAGGGTGAAAACATCCTATTGAGTTATTGTTTGCCTCGGGGACTCGTTTTCTCCTGAATATTCTCTGAATAAGTTCTGAACAAGACTAAGAACTATTACCAAAATGCAGTTGGTATCAATGGCATTTTCACAAGGTTACTCACTTGTTGATAATACATAATATCTTTTCTTATTTGGTGCAGAGATTGCTTAAAGGATAAACTAAAGAATCACGGCATATAACTTCTAAGTTCTAACTGGCAAATGTTATCCACCATTGGAAAGTGTAAGAGCCCAAAAAAAGAAAGTTCCCCATGGAAATTAACTCAAGACAAAGAAGGCCTTACTTTTTGTAGTCTCCATGTGAGATCTTATGAATAAATTCACTGCCTTCTTAAAAAAAAAAAAAAGGACAAAGAAGTGAAATTGGCAATATCAACAGGGTACCATTTCAACCACAACTCTAGGAAGCTGTCCCTGCCACATTTCTTGAAAGGGCAAGACATGCAGCAAGAAGATAATGAACAAATGATGTCCCTTTCTATTATATGCTCTACAGCCCATTGCTTTGCATGTTCCACTGTTGTGTAGTGGGTGACTTAAGGGCAAAGCCGCAAAATCAAAGAGAGAAAAAGTATATTTCTAAAAGTCAACAACACAACCACAATTTGGTTTATTGGATGGGGTGGTTGATATCATGGCAATGCATGGCTGATGGTTCCATTCATCACCTTTCATAATTCCATGATCATTTCCCCATTCACAATGAATGATTGAAAGTGACTTGTATATATTCTTTTCTTTCTCCTTTCACTGGCGCAAAATTCTCTGGTATCTTATAACTTACTCAACAATATTAATTAAATCAGTTAATTATACCCTCTTTTATTTCTTTCCCTACATTTAGCTCAAAAAAGCAAAGCGGCCATTTATGATTAGGGGAGGTTTGAAATGTCTATGGAAGGTGAGAATTATACTTGCGTTATGTCAATCACAACCATGGTTTGAACTTAATATGCATATATGCTCCATGAACCGACACTTTTACCATTAAAATACACAAAAATTGATGTGATCATGTACCTAAAAGCTGGTGATCATACATAGTTTATGATAGCTTTAGTTGAAATTGTTTAGTTGATATATTCCTTCTTCATGTCATTTATTAAGGCTTGAAATAATGTCACAGATGGAAAATCGACGCGTGCCTGGACATGGTGGAATGGAAGCCATATGTATAGCTCCTTACAGGTCAAGAAGGCTGCAGATTTGGCACTCACATGGGGCAAATTGATGTGGGTCACCCATGACTCCATTGTTTCAAAAAGCAGCAAAATTATCTCTAAATGCCCATTTTCTGTCAATTACTCATTTTCTTTTAGCATGTTCTTTTGACTTAATTAGTGATCTATTGATTAATCAGAAGAGATGAAATTGTGAAAAGAAAGAGTTTCTTAAGGCACACGCTGGTGCTATTAGGCTGAGATAAACTCTGATGAAAAGCAATTTATGAGAAACGAGTGATTTGGGTAATCATTCCTTGCTTCATATTTAAGGTGATGAATGGAAATTTATGTTTGTTACTTAGACGGACTTGATTCCAATGGAGAAACTATAAAAAGATTAGAAAAGATTTGACAGCATTAGTGCCAGAATGTTGACTTCTCAAACCACAGAAGGGACATGTAATTATTGGAAAATAATGGTAAAAGCTGAATTGAGATCATGAAACAACCACAAATTCCACAACTAACACGTTTAATCCCCTCCTTGTTGGTGTTATAATGCCAAAGGGGGAAACCAAAGAAAGAAAAACATCAATTTTGTGCACAAAAGTTTTGTGTAGAAGTTAGAACATCGCCTCCTTATGAGTCATGAATGCTTCTTTTTTCTTCCTTTTTGTCAATGTTGCCCCCCATGAGCCAGCTATATAGTATTCTTTTTCGACATATACATTATTGGTAGTAAAAAGTTGAAAGAAATTAAACTAGGATGGAAAGAACCAAAGAATCCTGAAATCAATCTTTTGATTCCCTGTACGATGGTTTTCACCTGATTTTCTTTCCAGTAAAATGGTTTAAGACAAAAATGGATTCTGTTGTTTAGTGGCATAGTAACCAGTATATAACAAACTCTTCCTCCGTGTCACATTCTTTCTTTTCTCACACTTCACCTCATTGTTCAACATTTTTGATTTTCTGCTCACCCTCTCAAACCTCTCTCTCGCTTCTTTGCTTTCTCTACTGGAGAAAATGGGAGCCTCCTCAGATTCCCAGTTGGTTTTTTTATGCATTGCAATGGTGTTTCTAAGTGTTAAGGTGACTCAGTGCAGTGTTAGCTATGACAGAAAGGCTCTTATCATTGATGGGCAGAGGAGAATTCTCCTTTCTGGGTCTATACATTATCCCAGAAGCACCCCTCAGGTACATTGTTTCCTCATATTTTCAATCTCATCCCACATTTTCTTGATAAATTATTGATCTTGTAGACAACTTTTGTCACAACTTTCGATGATGAAATGTTGTGAATGTAATGCAGATGTGGGAAGGTCTTATACAGAAAGCTAAAGATGGTGGTTTGGATGCTATTGACACCTACGTCTTTTGGAACCTCCATGAACCTTCTCCAGGCAACGTATTTTGCTTCACTCAAAAGTTTCTTCTTTCTCCTTTGTTTCATCTGTTATGGTTTTCCTCTTCTTTTTTTTTTTTTTGTTTTCCTTATGAAGTTCCATTTTCCTTTTCGGGTGTTAGTATAATTTTGAAGGGAGACATGATTTGGTTCAGTTCATCAAATTGGTCAAAAAAGCTGGGCTATACGTGCATCTTCGCATTGGGCCTTATATTTGTGGAGAATGGAATTTTGGGTAATGAGCATTCCTTCCATCGGTGAAGACAACCTTTATGTATTTATATCTCATTGATGTTTTTTTGTCTCTTTCCTCAGGGGCTTTCCTGTTTGGTTGAAGTATGTTCCTGGTATTAGCTTCAGAACAGATAATGAGCCTTTCAAGGTAAGGAGGTGTCTTATGTAGAGTAGAAATGACAAAGAAAAAACACAGATAAAAGCAATGCACACCTTTGTATGGTCCATTTCAGTTCTAATTTTTATTGGCATATATTTTACAAGTTTTGGACATGCCTACCATCTTGCCAATATTGATGTTTCAGCAAGCAATGCAAAAATTCACCCAAAAAATCGTCCAAATGATGAAGGATGAATACTTGTTTGAGTCTCAAGGTGGCCCTATCATCCTCTCCCAGGTATGGGCATGGCTTTGAGTTCTAGTATGCTGAAGTTCTGCAAACCATGAAATGAGACATATCCATTTTGCTATCAATTTGCAACATGTTCTGTTTGTTTGCAGATTGAAAATGAATATGAACCTGAAAGCAAGTCATTTGGACCACCTGGTCAAGCTTATGTTAAATGGGCTGCAAACATGGCTGTTGGGCTGGACACTGGGGTTCCATGGGTTATGTGCAAGGAATATGATGCCCCAGATCCTGTGGTAAGCAAAATAGTACTACTTGTCTCAAATTCTCTCCTCAACCATTTTTGATATAAATAAATTGAATCAGCCATTGATGTTGTATTCAGAAGCTTCATATTAGCCTTAGATTATGAGAAAATTTTTCTGGTGTCTTTTTTCAATCCTGGTGACAGATAAATACGTGCAATGGTTTTTATTGTGACTATTTCTCTCCAAACAAGCCTTACAAACCTACATTATGGACTGAGGCATGGACTGGCTGGTAAACTTCGGACCATCATCAACCAAAATGGGGTTCTTCAGTTCTGTATTTTCTCCATAAGCTTACAAATGGTCCCTCTCTTTATGTAGGTTTTCAGACTTTGGTGGCCCAAATTACCTCAGGCCGGTTGAGGATTTAGCTTTTGCCGTTGCCAGATTCATTCAAAAGGGTGGCTCCTTTGTCAATTACTACATGGTCTGTTAAACAAACTTTGATTTCTCACATAGTTGATAATATAGGAAAGTTGCAACACATTATTGGATTAACATTCATGTTACATTTCAGTTAAAATGTAGAAACTGACTCGCATGTGCCATACTAAGGAGAGAAGGAGAAAAGAAATTTCCCCTTTATCCTTTTCTTGATTCCCTGAAAATTATCTATAAGGAAAATAGTGAACTTTGCATCTGACAAAGGTTAATTAAAGTTGTACCAAGCATTTAAAGCTGTCATTTTCTTTTACTATTGAAAGGAACATTCCTGCAGTATAAGCTAAGCTTATTTGCCTTTTCTTTTCTGCAGTACCAGGGTGGAACCAACTTTGGAAGAACTGCTGGAGGTCCTTTCATTACTACCAGTTATGACTATGATGCTCCAATTGATGAATATGGTAAGGGTTCTTATCCGACAGTAGTCCCATTTTGACATGTTTACAATTCGAACACTTTTATTTAAATCCCTTCTCACTCTTACTGCTCGAGCTAAACCCAAAACTAATGTCGGTTTTTGACATGTGACTGCTGGTGTATGTTAATTTGATAGGCTTGATCAGGCAACCTAAGTATGATCATCTCAAAGAACTCCATAAGGCCATTAAGTCGTGTGAAAAAGCTTTGGTTACTGCTGATCCTAACGTCATAGCTTTGGGAAGCTACGAGCAGGTGCGCGGACGTTCAGTCTAGAATCTCTGCTTCTGGAATAAACGTGCTTGTTAAAGTCTTACCAAGAAAATCAACTCAATGGTAACTATTCTCAGGCACATGTTTTCACTTCCAAGTCAGGCGGCTGTGCTGCATTTCTCTCCAACTATAATACACGGTCAGATGCAAGGGTGGCTTTTAATAACATGCACTATGACCTACCCCGTTGGTCCATCAGCATCCTTCCAGATTGCCAAAATGTTGCGTTCAACACTGCCAAAGTAAGTGATTGGACAATAGTCTTGTATTCTATATTGGTTAGTCTACATTCTTAATTGGTAATTTGTTTTCAGTATCATTTATTGTGATGAGATGATAAAACCAGATACCATCTCTCTTTCCAGGTTCGAATTAAAACATCTCGAGTGCAAATGCTGCCGACTAATGTGAAGTTGCAATCATGGGAGACGTTCACTGAAGATGTATATTCTGTGGAGGACGAGTCACCAATGACAGCCAATGGTCTCTTGGAACAATTAAACATCACAAGAGATACCAGTGATTATCTCTGGTACACAACCAGGTAAGATTAGACTGAATGTATCTCAGCTGAAATTAAATTGATATCTCAAACACAATCAAATATTTCCAATTACTCATTAGGTGATTTTTCCAGTGTCCAAATAAATTCAGCCGAATCATTTCTTCATCGAGGTAAACTTCCCACCCTCAGCGTGCAATCAGCAGGGCATGGCATGCGTGTTTTTATCAATGGACAGCTTTCAGGTATATTATTCAGTTTCTCATTCCTGAGTTAATGCCTTTGGCTTAAGTTACTGAGAAGCTTTTCTATTGCTCAAAATTTACAGGATCAGCCTTTGGAACTCGGCAAAACAGGAGGTTTACTTTTACAGAGAATATAAACCTGCACCCTGGAATGAATAAGATTTCAATTCTCAGTATAGCGGTCGGCTTGCCGGTTGGTTCTCCAAATTCCATTTCAATCATAAACTAATTCTGACGTATGAAAAGAGTTGTGGAATCATATGATACAAGAAAAAGACCAAAGTTATATTTAACCAGGCATGTGCTAGCACAATATTAAAAGACAACAAAGTTTTGGGTGGGAGACAAATAATTCAAAGATCTAACAATTATGCAGAGGTTTTAAGCATTAAAATCCCTTTTCTTTCTATTGAAATTGCTTTGCTGATTTCATCTCCAACTTTTGTGGTGTTGAAGAATATTGGTCCGCATTTTGAGACCTGGGACACAGGAGTCCTAGGACCAGTTGTTCTGCATGGCCTAGATGAGGGACAAAGGGACTTAACCTGGCAGAAATGGTCATACAAGGTTGACCAATTCCTCTTCTGTGCTTTCATGGTTTCCCAGTGACTTTCTTCCTCATGATAGTTTCCCATTTACAGGTTGGCCTTAAGGGAGAAGTCAATAATCTAGGTTCTCCAAATTCTATCCCATCAATTGATTGGATCCAAGGATCCTTGGCAGCTCAGAAACAACATCCATTAACATGGTACAAGGTAAGGGAAATGAAATAAAGCAATATATATATGTACTTGAGAATGTAGCTTAACTAAACCCTTACAGATCATGGAATAAGAAAAAACTATGATTTCAACTTTCAGGCCTTTTTTGATGCTCCGGAAGGAGATGATCCCTTAGCCTTGGACATGGGCAGCATGGGAAAAGGCCAAGTATGGATCAATGGACAGAGCATAGGCCGATACTGGACTGCATCAGCTAATGGTAATTGCAGTGAATGCAGCTATGTCGGTTCATTTCGTCAAACCAAATGCCATTTTGGTTGCGGCAATCCAACTCAGCAATGGTACAAGCCCTCCAAGAATTAATATTCATGAATGAAAAAACTGAACACTAATTTAACTTTCTTCCCAACGTGTCATGTTTTCAGGTACCATGTTCCCAAGTCCTGTTTGAAGTCAACACAAAATTTATTGGTGGTTTTTGAAGAAATTAGAGGGGATGCATCAAAGATTTCACTTGTAAAGAGATTGGTGACAAATAACTAATTTCAAACATGAGGTAGCTTCTCAATTAAAGTGCCCACAAGCATCCTAAAGGAAAGAAAGGAAGAGAAAAGAAGGATGATGGCATGCTCACCATCACTGCGGAATTTAATACAAGTAGGACCTTGGCCTTTTGTACTACCATAGACAGCATAGTAGATGGGTTTAGGCTTCCAAATTGTGTTCTTGTGGGGGCTGAAAACTACAGATGGAATTCATAATGGCTAGTCCTCCGACTCTTTTCCAGGTTTTACATTTCCCCTTGTGTTGATGGGCATCTTTTGGGGAATCCCCCATTACTTTCTACCTAAGAATTGCCTTGAATATGAGGTTAGAATTCAAGGACAGCCAAAGTTATGGCCCACTTTTTCCCTGATGAAAGAAGTTGGTACAGCCTTCTTTTTAACCCTAGCTCATGGGGTTGATTCACCCAAGGAAATTCTATTTTCCATCTTTAAGCTTCTGTTTGATTAACCTTATCATTTTTATTAGGTTTTACTATCATTCATATTCAATCTGCTCCTCCATTGATTATTGAGATTGCATTAATTTCGTTTCTCTTTGTCAACCCCTGATCAAGGTTGCATTCATACTGATCTGAAAATTCAAGCAATGACTACAAGGGATTGGCGCAGCTCAAGAATAAGAAATAGTTTCGATTAGTCTAACCTTTTAAAAGGATTTCATTAAGTTATTTCCTTTGTCGCATAAATATTTATTTTAATTCGATTTCTTTTAATCAAAATTTTAATTATTTTAACTATTCGATTAAATTAAATTTCACCATATTTAGCAATTACTTTATCCATAGCTTTAAAAAAATTAATTTAACATTAATTATGGGATGAAAAGGGTAGTTTTTCTTTCAAAATAAACTCATATACATATAAATTAATCAACTTGATAATTAGGGTGTTTATTCCTAAATCGGCAAAACTTTTCAGTTTTCATTTAAAAGTTGACGTGTCCAAGAATTTCACTTTGATTTATTTTTTCAATTATTTCCAGAAATACGTGACTTGACTTTTTGGCTGTGCTCATCCATTCATTTGTTTGAAATTAAAATTCATTTACTCCTACCATTACGTTCTACCACGTTTACATTTAATAAAACGTCTTATTAATTTTTATATACGAAGATCCCATCATCCTCTTTAACATGAATTCCATATTGAATAAATTAATTTTTGGGGAAAAAAAAAAAAGAAACTACGCCCAAGTTGCCTTTTGTTTCGAACCAAACTGGTTCCTGGAACATCCAACGGTTCGGTTTGATCAAAAAGATTCCTGATCCGACAATGAACAGTTTGCTGATGGAGTCAAACCAAATTTTCCCATGTTGCAGAAAGTCAACATTCGTACCCCACCTGATACGCCGACATAAGTTACGATCATCACTTCAACGACATCCGTTATAGTTTCTTCCCCCTCTCTTCCCGACCTAACCTGAACATTATTTATTCTCTGTGCTCATTTCTACACTTCAATTTAGACATTCTCCATATCCCTTTTTCCAATAAACTTCAACAAACTGAATTTTATTATTAAAAAAATATTTTTATATAATCAATTTTAATAAAATTTATATTTGAGGTATTATCATTGTTTAAGTCTGCATATATTACTATGCACTATCACTTACTTTTTAAATATATCAAAGTAAAAATTTAAAAATCTTTCTAAAATAAATATTTCAAAATTTTTTATTTTTTAAATTTATCTATTACCAATATGTTAATATTTGATTTATTTGATATTATATAGAATTTATAAACTAATAATGAATAAAATATAAATAATTTTATTAATATTCTTTTTCTTAACATATTTTTTTAAGGGAAAAAAGAAATTAGACCAGAAACCAAATGACACCATGTCTAATGGATAAGTTTCAATAGCTGAAAAAGAAAATTATGTGGCAACATTAAGAGACAGCAAGCTTCCAAGAAAACTTGCGTGGCAGCATCATAAACAGTTATTTTCTCGAAACGGTTAACGTGGCAACAACAAAGGGCGGCACCTGAGTTTTTTTAAAGTAATCCTGATTGCATCGAATCCCAACTCTCAGTTCGCTATAACGTGAACCGTCACCGCTCCCGCACGCTTCCTCCAAGCCTGAAAGTCTTGTGACCAATCCAATCACCCTCTGACGTGGATCCTCACTTATCCTTCCTTTTCTACTCCCATGGAACCCCCCAACTTTCCCCCGAATTCCGATCTTATTCCCTGTTCAAACTAAGATCAACGCTGATTAAACCCCCTCACATAACTTCATCATAACCTCCGGAAAACACCGGAACTCAACTCCCCGCCAAAAAAGTAAACAAGGCAAAGCAGGGGAAAAAAATGTTGAGAAAATTTTAAAATAAATTAATTTTTTAAAATTTCTTTTTGGCCAGTCCACAATCTTTCTCTTGTCCTTGTGCATGCCTTTGTATTGTATTTCTCTGAACATTTGCTTACCCTTTTTATTTACCCTTTCTTTTCTTCCATGGCCAAAGCCAAAGCCCCAAGGCGAACTCTAGATTCCTATACAGTCAAACACATCAACAAAACAATTAAAGGTAAGCCAAAAGAAAAAAGAACTAAAGGATGGGAGCAAAAAGATTTTTTTTTTTAAGAAAACAAAAGGGAGAAAATTTTGTAGTAGTTAAGGTTTTTCTAAAAGTTGTGGTGATTGGCAGCTGGGGATTGCGTGTTGATGCGACCAGCGGATCAATCAAAGCCGTCATACGTGGCGAGAATCGAGCGGATCGAGGCGGACGCACGGGGGGGAAACGTGAAGGTGCACGTGAGGTGGTACTATAGGCCGGAGGAGTCGATCGGAGGGAGGAGACAGTTCCATGGATCTAAAGAGGTTTTCTTGTCAGATCATTACGATGTGCAAAGCGCTGATACCATCGAAGGAAGGTGTACGGTCCATAGTTTCAAGAGCTATACCAAGCTTGACGCCGTTGGAAACGACGACTTCTTCTGTCGTTTTGAGTATAATTCCTCCACCGGTGCTTTCAATCCCGATCGCGTCGCCGTGTACGTTCCTTTTTTGTCGATATATATATATATTTTTTAATTTTTCGTTGTTATATATGTTCTGAGTGGATAGTGTTTTCCCTTTTTTATTAATTTTTGTTTTCAAATTTTATAGATGTGTAGCCTAACGGGCACTTCCTTTTTGGTTAGTTTTTTTCTAATGATGTTTCGATTACTTAACCGCTTGACTAAGATTATGGTAGTCAATATAAGTTGATTACACATTGACTTGAATATTAGAAAAGAAGATATTAAATTTTTTATGCTTGATTATTGAGTCACTTATGTTTTGGAACAAGGATATTTTAATTTCTTAAAATTGTGCATTTTTGGTATTGAGGTCGAAATTTTTAGTTGGTTCATAGCTTAATACCTTGATCAATTTATGTTCGGGAAAATTGTAACTGAATTTTGCTTATAGTCGTGCATTAGATAAATAAGGTTTCGTAAATTCGCATTTTTGTATGGTTTCGTAGCTTAGTACATCATTTCTCGGTGTATTTACATGTGACTTCCTACTTAAATTATCGAAATTTTATTGATCAAAATGACAAACTTATTGGAAGGAATTGGTAAGAGCAAGTAAACTATTAATAAAAGTTGGAGTTTTTTGCAACTTCAGATTTTAGATTATTCTAATTTAAAACTTATCTGACTTTATTTAGTTTGTTATTTTAAACTGGCAGTTATTGCAAATGTGAGATGCCTTACAATCCTGATGACTTAATGGTTCAGTGCGAAGGTTGCAGTGACTGGTAAGTTGGATGCTTGGGGAGATAGCTATTTCAGTTGAGCCTTTTTTCACATCTTATTTGTCAATTATTGTGGATGAATATTTTGTATGAGGCTGTTCAAAGTACGCAAGAAGAGTTCTCCAACATGCTTTTCTAGCTATAATTGTTCTATTTTTCTCAAAAATCTTTTTTAAGCTTGTAATAAATCAGTTCTTATATGCATCTATTCAAGGACATAAAAGTAATTTATGAGGGTAGTGGATAGGCTATAGTTTAACTGTTATTAATCAGTATGTCCTTTTTGAGAAAGATAAGAATGGTATTATTATAGCTGCCACTTGAGATAGGAGCAAAAATTGGTAAAGAAGTTCTAAGGTTTGACCCTGTAGTGGAATGATGAAATTTCATTTGCTTCTGCCTCCCTTACTCCCCTTGTCTGCTGTGGAAACAAAACATCATTTTGTTCAGTTGGTTCTATGTTAGCGTCGCTAGGGTTTAATTAGCTTTTTCTTTTAAGACAATTGCTATTACTCCTTGTAGGCCTATATGGAAGCCAATTGTACAATTTTGATGCGATTAAAGCTTTTGTTGTCCTTGCTGGACATGAAGAGCAGGGCCACCCAATATTTTGTGAGAAGCTTATGTTATGTCAAAGATGGTGGACCATAAGCTTGACTTTGTGGTATCCCTTTGCTGAATGTGCAGGAAAAGGGGGGGGGGGGGGGATGTTCCTTACTGGTATAAGACTTTAGCCTTTACATGCATTGGGTTGATATAAATTGTTTTGATATGGTCTTTGGTTTGATACACTGCTTACATATATAGCTCGTGGATGTAGAAAATCAAGAATTATCAGCGATGATTTGGTAGATTTTAAATTGAAAACTTGGATTGGATTAGTGGAAAATTTGGAGAATTACTCACTAAGCTTTATGAATTCTGTGTCATATTGATGTTTGTAATTTTATGTTTTGTTATGAAGTAATACACATTGTTTAAAATTTAAGCAGTATTCAGAGTCTGAATGGTTTCTGTGAAATACAAAAATATTAACATGGGGTGAAGTCTCAAATGGATGAGAAGCGTGCAGTAAACACAGATTTTTGCTACATTTTTACCTTGCATACCTTCTTAGGTTGAGGTTTGTGATTGAAGGTTGATCCTAGTTAGTGTTCTGGGTTTTTAGGTGCCAGACTCAGAAATACTATTCTTGGTCTGGTTTACTTTCATATATATTTTTGAAGGTTCCGTTCTTTATTTAATCCATGAATTCTATGTATAAAATGCATCGAATTTATACAGTAGGCATTGAAAACTGTTGCCATATTCAGCATACTACTTTTGATTCAGGTTTCATCCTGCTTGTATAGAAATGACAGCAGAGGAGGCTAAACGACTTGACCACTTCTTTTGTGAAAGTTGTTCATCTGAAGGTCAGAAGAAGTTGCAGAACTCCCATGCCACTTCCAGACACTCAGATACAAAGGTATTCCTGCTTCCTTGCCCTTCAATTCAGCATGTACTTTATATCTTGCCTGGACTCAAGGTAACATCCATGTCTGATGGATATCAAGGTGGCTTTGAAATGCCATTTATTTTATCCACATATTAAGCAGAATTATTAGATCCAGCCAATATATAATTATTCACCTATGCACATACATTTGGCCTTCAGGATTAATGTTGGTCAAAATGGTATGTTCTTCTCAATTGATCATCAGTTCATGTTACATTGATGCATAACAGGAATGCTTACATTAAAATCCACCTTCTTACCAGAAGGAGGCAGAAGAACCTTCAAAACTTGGTGTTGCTCAGAATTCCCGAGCTATGGTCTCACTTTGCTATTCCTAAAATCGCCAATTCAGTTGTTCATTTGGCATGCTTTATGTTGTATATATATGCCTGTTTTTGTGGCTTCAATTTCTGAGTTGAGAATATATCAGAGCTGTAGAGTGATAACAGTCACAGATATTGAGATATGTAGAGTGATGACTTGATGTGTAAGTGAGAGTCCACAATGTCCATGCTAAGGAGTTAGAATATGGACTATGTACTTATCTCTTAGGAGAATGTTTTGAGTCATTTTTAATTCAATAGAGGAAGCATAAGTTAGTGTTTGTTGAGTTTCATGTTGCACGTATGCATAAAGAGTGTAGTAGTGATAAAAAAAAGTGTACAATTGGGTATGCTCACTGGGATTTACGTTGTTCTGTGTTAGGTTATCTCTGCATGAGTCTGGAGCTCATACCGTAATGAGTCATCTTCTTTAATGAAAGTAGATGGAGGCTTCTCAGAGTGCTTATAATTACCATAATCTGAAGTATGCACTTGTTATAACGGTAACATTAACATGGTGTTTCAGGTGGATACAAAACGACGACGGAGGTGACAAAAGTATATAAACTTAGTGTTTTAGTCAAGAGGGCTGGAGTTGTTCTCGTTTTTAACCTTGCGTAGGCTTGGAGCAAACCAGAGGCAAATATATCTGCATCAAAATCTGTAGCCTTGTGAGTTGATGATGGTTGACAGCAACTGGTTTGAAAACCTATGTCCTGTTTATATGGTTTGAGGGTCAGTCAGTGAAGTCAACAATATGTTTGGTTGTATGTAATATCACGATGTAGGTTTCTCCTCTCTCTCTCTCTCTCTCTGATTTACAAATCAGGGTTGTGTATAATCAAACTGTTAACATATGAAAGATCAACAGATTCCTGGTATTGTCTATTTCTCAAAACTTAACAAAATGACTGACCTTATGGATAACCTTTGCAAAGTTTGACGGTGCGATTCTCATTATGCTAATACGGAATGGTTTCCACTCTACACTTATCAAATGCTGCTCGGTTGGTTTGGCTTCCCTTGGTGAGCTTGACTTGGCCAATCGAGTGGCAGATCTCACCGAATGGTGATTGAAAAGGCAACTGCTCCATTTAGGTCAGGGCAAAATGAGTTTTCCGTTGCCGGGACTTGAACCCGGGTCTCTCGGGTGAGAGCCGAGTATCCTAACCAACTAGACAACAACGGATTGGTTGGTTTAGTGCTAATAACCTGGAACTATAGTAAGAAATAAACAAGAACTTTAACGCGCCTTTCCGCAAAGGACAAGAGGAGGTCATTATTATTGTTCAACCACGCCAATTTGATGGCAGTATAAGTCCTGTACTGCCGTACTGTATTGGTGAATAATGGACGCCATCAATCCCAAAGGACAACGTGAATTTCGTGTGAGTCATCTCAACAGTACAGACAGTGTCCTTGATGTTTGGTCTCGTCTAACCTGACCATGGTTTGGTTTGTTCTATGCTAAGGTTGCACCTGCACGTTAACCATGACAGCCTCGAGTTCTTCGCTAGGATCCTATGCCCAAATGTTAGACGACTGCATGAACCATGTACACCTGTTTAACAACGATGATTCAACAAAGCAATTTCCCCGTGATATCAGAAGCTCTTTCTTTAATCAAGGCAATGAAATGAATAATGACCACTTGCCCGCATTAAAATCAATCACAGAGAAATTAAGGAATCAATTCATAACAAAAATGTATTCTACAATTTTTGGTTCAATGGCATGAGTTACACAGACAAGCAACTAATCTAACTCAAACCTGACTGGGCCATCTTTTTTTCTTCTTTTTTTTCCCACAAATTTCCTTAAATACTACAATGAGATAAAGAAAAATACATATCATGAATACAAAATTTGAGTCAAACAATGATCACTTGGTTTCCTCATCAGCCGTAGACAATGAAGGATGGAATACTATCATTCAAGATGCTTCCAAGGATTCACCGCTTGAACAAAACAATGGTGAAACTGAGCAAACAAAGCTGATTGATTTCCTTTAAAACGTTTATCTTTTATCGCTGTATGTATTGACTTTTAACTTGTTTTTGCTCTCTTCCATACTATAACAACTCCATAAAGGTCTGACGAAGCCAACAAGTTCTCCCCATGATTCCAAGCTACTCCTATAACCGGAAAACGGTGACCCTGCATACACGAATTTGATGCATTAACAGTAGATTAGCAAAGGAGTTGGAAGTATATACACAAGTAGGAAAAAGAGTAGAACCTGTAGCTTATTTACACATGTATGCCTTGGCCGAGTTAAATCATAGAAATAAACATTTGAATCCTCACTCCCAGCAACTTCACAGCACAACAAATCACGCTGTCAGTCAAGATAAATAACTACTGATAGTCTCTTGGGCAGAATGTAAGATTTTCTGCAAAAATTGTTTGATGTAAGTAGAAATTAAGTTTGATGTAAACCTATATATTCTCCCTTATCAAGGGAAAGCAGAGGGCAGAAGGATGCTCGAATGCTGTGTATTCGTGGGGTTAATTTAAGTGAGCAGCGCAGGGTTAGATAACCTTGTATTTCCAAAGCAACACTGCAATGCAGACATACCATCTATCAGTTACTCAAGAAAATCAAAATAAAGACTAGCACTAGAACAAATGCTGTCCTGAACAAACCTAAAGAAAGAAAGACTTCCATCTTGAGTACATGTCAGCAACACAGGGCCCCCGGCCAGCAAGGAAAAACTTCGGTACTGCACAGTTGTGACTGGACATTTCTGCTTGCTGCTACTTCTATAACGATGAGAACGGGATAATGCACCTGTGTGGGAGTCCATACTTACAGTGTATATGCATCCCTGCAAATCTTATCCCATTAGAAACTGTACAAGAAACTATACCAAATTTAGTTGATTACAAAGATAAGAGAGAGACCTGTGCATCTCCACAGAAAATGAGCTGACCAGCATGATCATGGTCCATTGAGGTAACCTCACTGTCAAAGACTGATTTCTTAATAATCCTTCCAGTGCTGAAATTGAACACCTGGTGTACAGAAAAAAAGGTGCTACCAATCAAATGACAGGGTTGATTGAAGTGGAGACTGATAGGCAGTTTTTGACACAGTGATCAATCAACAGAACCTTAGAATCCTAATTTCTGACAACATAAATATGAAAACAGAGAAAATTCAAACAAACACACATGCACACATATTTAAGGAGTGAAAGAAGACTTAAAAATTTGGAAGTGGGCTGACCAGCTATCAGATTTCAGATTCTTAAACAGGCAGAGGCTTTTCTTAGATTGAGCCAACCACCAAAATTCAGAAAACAATTTACAGGGACGAAGAAAGCATATTTGATAACTTATATAGAGTCTGGAGATTATAAACTATACAAATTAGCATTAATATCAACCAAACTAATCGCTCAGTAAGTTTGGCTTGATATAATCAACAGATTGTTGGTCACACTGTGGTTAGCACCAAATTAGCTAAAATCGCCTGCGTTTAGCAGATTTTGCACATGCCAATAATAGCCCCAGCATCACTCACAATTGATTCAAGTCTTGGTAAAAGCCCTATCCTAAGTTAGAAGTGTCTGTGCTGTATGCATGCATGGTTGTCCAACTCTGGATACTTGTTTTACTGTATCTAGATCAAATTATCTCCCCATAGTGTGCAGCTTAAACCAAAATTGCATAACAGAACAAAGTCTGGACTAACAACTTGGACCAAGAATATGCTGAGATTAATAATGGAATGTATTTGGAACAATATAAAAGAACCCGACGCTCATGAATAATCTGTGTTCAAATGGTACTTTCCTGTTATTCCTTTACTCTAACTACACAACAAACAAAAACTCGGCTCTGATTTAAACAGCCCAGAAGCTATGATGCAAATATAAAAAATGATACTGGTCTTTTAATTTTCTTTAGCAAAGGCGTGGAGCACTTACAGTGATCTCCTTATTTGCATTACCAACTGAAAGAAAGTTGTTATTTACCTGCAGCCAAGAAAAGAAGAGAGAAGAAACATTTTAGCTACCAATTAACTCAAACAAAACATACGTACACTGGTATATCTGCAGAACTTTTTCAAGATATGCATTATAGTTAGAGGGAAAGAGACAGAGAGGTTGCAAAGAAATATATTTCTAGACTACAGCAGATAACAAGCAAATGCAGAAGAAACATAAAAAATTTTCCATGGTTAGAAAGTGAATGAAAGTATAAATGCTGATATATGCTTACAGGATGAAAGCGAATACACATTTGTGAAGAGACTCCATATATTACTCGAATGCAAAGGCCTTTTGATAACTCCCATACTCGCACAGTTTTATCCATTGATGATGATGCAATATATTGATTGTTTGACGAGAAGTCAAAATCTGATAATGCAGTAGAATATCAGAAACATGGTTAATAAACAATAGATACAAATCTTCCAGAATAATAGTTATCAAAATAAAACTCAACTCTTGAGATACTGTTATACCAAGAGGGATACATATACCTAATATCAATGGTTTAAAGCTTAGATTGAGTGGATCATTTTCACAACAAGCCATTATGTGCCATCTTAGGAAATAAGTGATGGATGCTTCAAGGATATAGCTCTTAGACCATTTTTTCCCTTTTATGAGAAAAAAGGTTCCTACTAAATATACATATTTGAAAACCATCAGTGAGAAGTATATTTGCGTTTTCCCTTCTTTTTTTTTTTTGAATAAGCATTTGCCTCTTCCTTTTAAGTAGACAAAATGGCCTGCAGTTCTGAACCCACTCTGTCCCAAATTATTTTTCTGAAAAACAAGATCAGAAGGCATTCCAACTTGGTTTATTGCTTAGTGACTTACTCCTACCAAGCCACATTTTGCTCTCACTCTCACATCAACTTCCGAATTGCAATCTAGTTATTCTACCGTGCAGACCTTTGTAAACAGCATCACAAGGCATCCCAGTATCTCACCCATTCGGTTTAAACAGTTAAAGATCCTTCATGATATGGAGTAAACGAGGCTACCCAGCTGACCTAGTCCAATTCCACAAAAACTAAAAAAAAGAAGAAGAAAATATAGAAACTGGAATGGACCAAATACGTTACACATGAGTGTGACCATCATCTCATCTTATGAAAGAAATTAGCAGATAAGCATGGCCACAAATACTTTAGACTAACTTATAAGAAAGACTACAGAAACAATACCAGTTAATCCAACCTGTGACATCTTTTGAATGCCCTTTTAGTTGCTTCATAACTGAAGGTGTCTCAGAGACAGTGCAAACTGTCAAAGTCCCATCTGATGCCCCATATGCAAGTAGATCAGAACTCATGTGCCCAAACTTCAAAACTGTAACTGCATATAAGACCAATCATATTGCTTCGTTTTAGAAGA